ACAGATCCACCTCTTCCAGGATGCCATCTCACCTTCTCATTTCCTCTCTGCTTGATTAAAAACCAAAACCAAACCTGTTGCCATCAAGTCGATTGCAACTCATGGCAACCCCATAAGTCCTCCTTGTTGTTGTTATGTGCCATTGAGTCGGACCTGACTCGTAGTGACACTTCCTTGGGTTTCTGAGGTGGTATCACTACGGAAGTAGATTGCCCAAACTTCCTTCTGAGGAGTGGCTGGTGGGTTTGAACCGCCAGCCTTCTGGTTAGCAGTCAAGTGCCTTAGGCACTATGCTACCAGAGCTCCCAATGACTCACTGCCGTGGAGTCGGGTCCGACTCAGAGTGACCCCTCCTTGGGTTTCTGAGGCGGTATCGCTACAGAAGTAGATTGCTCAACCTTTCTTCCAAGGAGTGGCTGGTGGGTTTGAACCACCAGCCTTCTGGTTAGCAGTCAAGTGTCTTAGGCACTACACCACCAGAGCTCCCCCATAAGTCCTCAGATGGCACGAAGTTTACATTTGACTACCAACCTAAAGATTGGAAGTTCAAACCCACCCAGCAGCACCGTGGAAGAAAGGCTTGTCAATCTGCTCCATAAAGATTTGTCATTGTTATTTGCTGAGTCAATTTCAACTCATTATGACTCCTCCAACCCTCACTCCCTACACATCCACTTCTGCTCATCTCCCCCAGAGGCCCTGACAGAGCTGGTCACATGCCCTCAAACCCTTCATATCTTTGGATGCCCTACACACATGGTTAATTCTCATAACCATCCTAGGAGGAGGGTGTTATTCCCCTAGTTTACCCAGGAAGCTGAGGTCAGAAAGTTAAAGCACTTGGTCCAAAGCAAGAGGACACCGGAGGATTCACCAGGGATGTGTGACTCGAAGACAGGGCTCCTAAGCCCTCCGTTAGCCCCTCTGCATGAAACATTTCTGGGAAACTCAGACCCAGGCAGCTGCTCTCTGCCAGGCCTAGCCAGGTAGCCCTGGGACTTCTCTGTTTTGTTTTACTTTATAAAAGAAGTATTAGCCATTGTTAGTCCTTGAGAAAGGCAGTGTCATGGTGCAGTGCCTAAGGCATTTGACTGCTAACCGGAAGGTTGGTGGTTCAAACCCACCAGCCACTCCACAGAAGGAAGACTAGGCAATCTGCTTCCATAAAGATTTACTGCGTTGGAAATCTAATGGGGGTCTCTAAGAGTTGGAATCAACTAGATGGCAGTCCTTGAGTACGAACCATGGGCCAGGTCCTTTGGGGATTTCCTCTCAATTACTCCTTGCCTCTGAATCACTCTCTTTGTTTAACTGATAAGGTGAGGCCCTCAGGCAGATGAAGTGACTGTCCAGGGTCCCACATGGAGGGATGGAAGTGGGGCTAGAATTTCAGCTCCATGAAGACAGGGACTTTCATCTGTTTCTCTGTTTCATTCCCAGCTCCTAGAGGAGGGCCTGGCTTAGATGTGGTCCAAACATTTGGGGCCTGAATGAGTGTTGGAGTCAGGCTGGCTGTACCCGAATCTTGCACGCTCACATGCCCTCTGTGCCTCCCCTCCTGAGCTCTGGGACATTCCGGTGGCTCTGCTCAAAGAAGAAACAAGGCTATCCTGGTCTTTGCCTCCTGCGGAAGCTAGTAGGTAGGTACTGGTGGACACACAGCATGCGGGCCAACCTCCCCAGGGAGGAGCAGATTTGCAGAGAGCTGTGTGCACACTCAGGGCTGGTATCTTTGCAGGTGGAGGTGCTATAGGTGGCAAAGCCCCTGGAGGCCAGGTGGCCACAGAATCTCAACGGACACCAGCACCAGACAGGAACAAGGAAGGTATTAAGGAATAGACCGGGGAGGTGGGGGGGGGGGGTTGCATGTGTCCCTGAAGCCAAGAAACCACCCCCAGAGGGTAGCAGTGATGACAGTTCCACCCTGGATGCTAAGTGTTAGAGGGCACCGGGTTGAGTGCTTCCCATTCATTATTTCATTTATGCCTTGCAGCTTCCTAGGATGTAGTACTACTATTTCTGTTTCCACAGGATTGGATGTAGACTGTGAGACTCAGAGATAAAGTGCCTTGCCAATTCACCAGCTAGAGAGGAATGGGGTAGGGACTGGAACCTGGGTTAGCCTGGTCACTTGCTAGGGTTAAGAGATGAGAACTAGGACACCAAGGCCACCACTTATTCAGACAAGTCCTATCAACCTGTAAAATGGGTGACAGTAATGCTACCTCATGGGGTCACAGGAAGGATTAACCAGGGCCCTCAGTGCCACCATCATGAGTAGTTTCTCACCAGTCCCTGCAAGTGAGGATTTAAACCCAGCATACCTGGTGGGTCAGCTTCACTGCTCAAGACCCAGTAGGGCCAGCCTCTAGCTCACCACAGCTAATTGGATGTGTGACATGAGTGACTGGTTCCTGGGTGGAAGGAAGTGCAAGTGAGAGGATAGCTGCACCTGGGCACTCACAGTGCATGAATCAGAGACTTCCTCAGCCCAGGTTAATTTGCTGAGGTCTCCTGTGTATGCCAAGGGCAGGGAGTATAGCCAGGCCCAGTGAAGGGGGCCAGAGAATGGATGGCCACCAATTATTTGTCACTCTCCACCACCACCTCCCCCATCAGGAAGTGGAGTTTATGTCCCTGCCCCTTAAATCTGGGCAGCCTATAAGTGCTTTGATCAATAGGATGAAGCAAGAGTAATGCTGGGCCAGTTCTGGGCCTCAATCTTAAGACACTTAAAGAAGCTCAGAGGTGCCGTGTAAGAAATCCAACTCCCTAGTGGAGAGCCCATGTGGAAGGAGTAAGGCCCTGAGATGACATGGAGCGAGAGAGGGGCCCAGCCTTCCCACTGTCCTCACTAAATCACTTGTCATATGAATGAGCCATACTAGAGTTAAGCCCCAGAAGACTGCAGCCTAGTCAATACCACATGGAGTAGAAAGCAATCCAACTGAGCCCAGTCAGCCCACAGAATCATGACAATAATAGGTTGCTGTTTTAAGCCACTCTTGTGGGGCCATTTGTTATATAGCAGTAGCTAACTAAAACACCTGTGAACTAGAAAGCCACCAGCAAACTAGGTAAATGCTGTTTTGCTCTCTACTGGAAATGTAGGCCTCCAATTTCTGCCTTTTTGTGGACCCAGAAGAAGATGAAGAACTCCCAGCTCTAGCATCACAGCCAGGTGTAGGGTCCTCAAGTCTAAAATCCCAGATGAGACATGCCAATTGGCCCAAATTCAGTCAGATGTCCACTGGGGGCCTATCAGCTGAAACCAGGAGGCACAGTTAATACTGCACCAACATGGCTACTGCACTCTCTCCAACCTCCCACCATATATGAGGAAGGGAAGGGAGTGAGGATCATTTCAGAACAAGGGGGCTGTAACAAAGAGCCACCTCAGAGAACAGAAAAGCCATTAGCACAGGACCTGGCACAGAAAAAGGCTCAGGGGAAAGTGTACACAGTGGTGGTTGGCTCATAGGGACAGGGGAGTGGTTGTATAATTGTTAAGTTTCTCATGTGCAGTTCTGCTGTTGTATTGTTGTGGCTCTTGGGTTGTTGCTGGTGTTGTTATCCTGCCTCTCTGAACTGCTTCTAAGCAAGATCTTTTGGAATGCTCTGAGCTACTTGTAAAAGTCTTTTACATGATCTCAAGTGTGAATCTAGTAATAACACTAAACATGCTCCATTAAACAAGAATGGCTTCAGAAAATCACAGAAGCACCCACTCTGAGAGGCAAGGGATTGAGAGACTGAAGAGACACTCTCCAAAGGGGTCTAGGGAGGAAGAGAGACACTCTCCAGAGGGGTCTGTGGAGGCAGGGGATCTTATGGTGTGGCTGGCAGATCCCAGACAGGGTTGAGAGGAGGGGAGCATGGGGTCAGGCTTTCAATCTCTGAGGTGGGGGCCGCAGCTGTGTCAGGGATGGGAGTGAAAGCTGCTGATGCCCAAGGAAACAGCAGAGAGAATTCCAACACAGACGCCAGAAGGAGGTACAAACCCTTGGTAAAACCTGAGTCCACTCTTCTTTAGTTGGGGTGAGAATGACATTAGTCCTCTACTCAATCATAAGTCCCTCAAGTGCAGTCACTATGTCTGTCTCATACACTACTGTTTCCCCACTGTGTGGCATGGAGTATTTGCTCTGTATCTGTTGAATGGATGAATGAATGAGTGAATGGGTGAATGAATGAGTCTTATTTGATACCACTGCCCTTTTCCAATGCCTTTTTTTATTCTTTGATGCCCTGCAGTCTTTGGTTTAAGTCCTGTCTCTCCAACTGACCCATGCTGAGCAAGTCATATCACTCATGCTCAGTTTTCCCATCTGTAAAATGGGGATGCTACAAGTCTGCTCTGCACAAAGTTACTGGGATGATGAAATGAGATCACATAAATGAATCTATAGCTGCAAAAACAGGATAAACATAGTGTTTTTGATGTAGTCACTGTCATCACTGTAATCACCACCATCTCCATCACTGCCATCGCCCCTACCCTCATCAATCCTTTCTCCTCATCCCCAAACAACCACACTAGCTCTAGCCCCATTCAGTGCTTAAGTTAAATCACATTTAATTGTTGTTCAAAAAAGAATAGATAAATCAGAAATGAGATTCACAGCACTTGGAATCAAGAAAGGGTTAACTAAAAAAATAGGAATATATTAAGCTTTTGATTAAAAAATGCAAACATAGTCCCTCTCACACTCACCCCTGCATTCTCACTCATATACACACATTTCCATTCCAAAGCACACACCCACCCTCAGGCATACACATGCAGTCACGCACAAACACCTCTTCCCTTCCCAGGGGTCCCCAGGTGCTCGCAGGATGGCAGAGGCTGGGAAGGCCTGTGCCATAGCCCTGTCCTTTCAGAGCCCCCTCACTAAATAGCAAAGCTAGACTAAAGCTGGGGCTACTGGGGACACACACAGGACTCTCTGAGCTGTGCCAGGGTCAGGAGATGGAAAGGACAACGCAGAGGGCAGGAAATCTTAGACGATTCTGTTCTCCAGGATGGCCAGCCGCTTGCTCACTGCTTCCAGTGGGTCCTGAGTCAAGGAGAGGTTCAGGTTGGCCAGAATAGGGTGGTGATGAGAGTGGTACCTAGACTGGGGACCTCCACTTTCTGTTTCCTCAAGATTGTCCCTTTTCTAGAACTTTCCTTCACTACCAGCCCCCAAGGCTGTGTTCTCCCCTTTGTCAAAATTTATTCATCCAATTATCCCAGAATGGTGCTTTCCAAAAGAACAGCCAGTTACTGCGAGCCCTGAAGTGCAGCCCCGTCTCTTGGAGGGTTAACCCTGCTGGATCAAGTCAGTTCTGATTGGGCCAGGGAAGCTGTTCAGGGTCTGAGTCCCACATCTGAGGGGGGGAGATGCATTAGTCATGTCACCGTAAACCCAAGAAATGGTAGTCCATAGGGACTCATGTGTTCCTGAACATGTCCAGGACTCTCTGTGTGTGTCCAGATCCTAGATCTTACCTTCTGCCTCAGTTTCCCTGTTTACCTTCCAGAAGTCTCTGCTTTTGATAGGGTCAGTACCAAAGCTGGTGCCAGTCTATCCAGCCAGATCCCAGACCTTCTTAAGCAAGAGACAGATAAGGAGGAGACAGCCTAACCCTACCATAGAGGGCACCCTCTCTCTCTCTCTCTCCTGTCTCCACAGTGCCCATTCTCTGGCTCCTCCACTTTACCCACAACAGATTCTGGAAAAGGATATGCTTCCTGGTCAGAGCCTGCAGCAACTCCTCCACTTTGGCCTGGAATATCACAAGGGACTCGCAGGCACATGGGTCTTCCTCTGGGGTGGGAGGAGAAGCAAAGAAAGAGAAAGAATATGGTGAGTAGTTGCCCTGGGGGCTGGAGGGTCATTGTCCAATGTTAGGATGAAAGAGTTCTAGGAAGGGGTCACTGGGGATGCTGAGGACGCAGATAGACATACAATCCTTGAGACAGAACTCCTAGGAGTGAGGGCAAAGACATCCAAATGTCTTCACAGGTTCCTCCAAATCCTGATAATGAATTCCAAAATTAGCACCCAAGCAATGAGCAACTACTATGTGCAGGAGACTGTTAGGGGCTTCTATGTAATCTTAGTGACTCCTCACTCCAACCCCTTGGGTTTGAAATCATTAACCCAGTTTTACAGATGAAGAAACTGAGAAGTGAAACAACTTGCCCATGGCCAACATCTAGTTAGTGTCAGAGCAAAGATGAAAGCCCAGGACTGCCTGGCTCTGGAGCCCATGCTCTTTACCAGTAGGAACCAGCTGGTTACCTGGGAGGATGGGGAGAGAAGAAGGGTTTGAATCCTAGCTCCCCCAGTTATTAATAATTGCTCTACTCCTCTGGCATTGGTTTTCCCATCTGTAAAACAGGTATAATAATATTCCTACCAAATAAGATGGAATGCTTTAATATTTGGAGAGCAGTGTAGTGGTGATAGTAACCATCATATTGGTCAGGCCCTCTCCTGGTTCTGCCAAATCTTGGTGCCACCCCAGCCCCTGTTTTTCCCTGCTCACATCCAGTCCCAGGATGATTCTATCCCCCCCAGAGTTCCACCTGCTCCTCCCACTGATGCCAGCCCTAGCCTTACTCACCCACACAGATCTTCTTCTGCAATTTCTTGCCAATCTGGTTGATGGTTTTGAAGTCGGCTGTGTAGAAGTAGTGCTCAGCCACAGGCTCCGAGGCAATTTCCCTCAACTCATCCTCCACTGCGTTGCCCACACCCACAGCAAACATCTTAAAGCCTGCCAGGAAGAAAAAGATTAGTAAGGCTGGTTATGGGTCAGGCAGCCACGGCTGAGCCTCCCGGGGTATGCCTAGCTGTCAGTCCAGACAGCCAATACTAGATACCTCCTGGTGACAACTGCAGGTATTGCAGGCACAATGCCTAGGACAAAGAAACTGAGCGAATCCAAATCAACATTTATTGAGGTTCTACTATATGTCAGATCCTGTAGTCGGAGCTTTGTAATATCACTCGACCCTCATAACTATCTGTTCACTGATTAAAATTATCCTCATTTAATAGAGTAAAAAAAAAAAACTGAGATTCAGGTTTGGCCCAAATTTAGATTGCCTTCCAGCAGCTGGTACACTCTTCATAACAACCATTCAACCTGAAAAGTTCCAAGCCCCATCTACAAAATGATCAGGAAAACAAGCTACTCTTCTGGGACCTCAATTGTGTCATCAGTATAAGAGAGAGTTGGACTAACCAATCCTTCCTTCACCATTCAAATTTGCCTGGGTTTAGGGCAATAATCAGAAAAAAAAAAAAAAAAGATAAACTACTATGTAACTGTGTAGTGTGTGCCACCAGCATCAGTGGAGTCCAAGGTCAGGCAGGCAGCACCTACCGAGGTCCTTGGCCTTCTTGGCAGCATCATTAATGTAGTCCTGGCTCCGGCCGTCTGTGAAGACAATGCCCACCTTCTGAGCACCAGGCCTGGCCCCACTGGACACAGTGAAGGAGTTGTCAATGAGGTACTTGAGGGCAGCCCCAGTCATGGTGCCCTTCTCCATGTAGGACATGTTCCGCACAGCCGCCTTGATGTCCTTCTTGGTGTGGAAGCGGCCCAGCGGGAACTCCTGGCGCACTGAGCTCGAGTACTGCACCAGCCCCACCTGAGCCAACTTGTCTGACACATCCAGTGTGTCCACAATCTGGTTGATGAACTTTTTCACCAGCTCGAAGTTCTCTGGTCTCACACTCTTGGATCCATCGATGAGGAAGACTAGGTCAGTGGCTGAGCTGCCACCACCACCACTACAAACTGGGGAGAGCAGGAAGGCAAGAGGATGAAGTTGAAGGGCATGGTCATCCATCCAGACCACTTGCTGGATACCACCCATTCCCAGGCTCTTTGCTGGATGGATCACGGGGATCATCCCATTTTCTTCTGAAAGCTCCTCTATTTATGTAATGAGTTCTTTTATGTGGATTTTTATCTTGGTTCTTTGAAAAAAAACAGCTTGAGATATTTTTCGTCTAAACCCTAAGGAGTTACCTTTGCCATAGTTTTCTACCCTAAAAGTTTTGTTACATTTACTAGGTAAACTGTAAACAACTTGGTTGAATACTTTTTGTCTGGATCTGGGCTACCACAGACTGCCCTGTGATTGGTATGCACCTTACAATGATTGGCCAAAAGTCTACGTAAATGAGGTGAGTTGCAGTCTACTATGCAAATGAAGTATCTGAAGCCTACCAAGAGGGGATTGGTCAGTTTATGGCCCCAGCCAGGTAAGGCCATGCCTTGAAATTAACAAGGAATTGTGTATATAAGCAGTCAATCCCACAGAGGTTTTTTGAAGACAGAAAGAAGTAGGAAGAGAACCAGCAGGAAGATGCAGAGAGGAAGAAAGAAGAGAGAAGAAGCAGAGAGAGGAGGCAAGGAAGCTTCTAAAAGAGGTGTAACTCAAGTCAAAGATTGTAACACTGAAGGTGATAGGCCCAGAAGGGGCCCAGTGGCAGAGCCAGTGGCAAAAGACAGCAGGGCCAAAAGGAGCCTGTCCTCAGAGAGGTTATAGGAGGCCTGCCTAGTGTCAAGGAGCTGAGAGAGCTGTCCTGCAATGAAGAAGAGAGACTTTGACTATATGCTTCCTGTTTCTGATTCCTGAGTTGTAGCCTATTGATCTTGATCTCACAAGTTGTATCCTATTATTTCCTTAATAAACTACTTAACTGAAAATGTGTACTGTGAGTTCTGTGTGCTCCTTGCAATGGATTATTGAGCCCAGAAGAGAAGTAGACAGTGTTGCAGGAGGTATAGCTGGGATCAGAATTGATTTAAAAAAAAGATTGGAGAGCAGAGATACATCTGACCTCTATCTCATGGGATGACCTCCACCTCATGGGAATCAGCTTTAGGCTGATTTTGGTCATTATCCCCTCTGAAGTTAGACAGGTTCTGATGCTATTAATATTCCCACCATTTTACACTCTATAAATCCAGGGTTACTGTTCTCATTTTACAGCCTTGGAAACTGCAGGTCTTAAAGCTGTTAAATCAGACAGCTCAGAAGTAACGGAGCAAGGATTTGAACTCAAGACTGTGTGACTCCTCCCACCACATTAAACCTACCACCCAGACCCTGCCACTCCTAACAGAAGTTAGGAGAGAAGAACTTTCTGTGGACACTAAGCTCTAGAAGGCTTCCACCACTCTTGGAGATTGGTCAGAGACACAGGCTGAGACTCAGTGGGCCCCATCCCCCCTTTCCCTCCCATCCTCACCCGCCCCGGGGCTTGCCTGCGCCCAGCCCCACTGACCATTGCAGGTCTTGCCATCACTGTTCAGGGTGAAGCCTTCACGGCAGGCACAGGTATAGGAGCCCGGGGAGCTGATGCACACCTGCTCACAGTCATGGTCCCCCGTGGCACACAGGTCTGACACCACTGTGTGAACAAGGAAACCTCAGAATCATGGGGCCTGCGACATTCCAGCCAAGATGCCCTCATTAATTATAGAGACCAGGCCCCTTGCACACTCAGGGAAAGGAGGCCCCCAATTGGGTAGGGCCCAGGCCCTAGTGTGTCAGCCAAGGGCCTGGCCATACTGAGACCTGAAGAAGATGATGAAAATGAAACTTCTCACTAAAAAAGGTAAAGACCACAGGGGCAAGGTTGTGCAGTACCCCCAGTAATGAACATAGCACATCGCAGACACTTAATAAACGTTTGTTAGATCCCAGCTATTGAGTGCTGTAATATGCATTATCTTCTCGAATCCTCAATAAGGCACATGCTCTTATTAGACCCAGTTGACAAATGGGGAAATGTCCTTACCTGGCTGTGCCCCTGACATACTGGAGTTCTGCTCCACTGCACCCCTTCTAACTGGTCATATCCCAAAGATCTCTCCACAGACCCATCTTTTTTCTGTGAAGGACTCAGGTACCTTAGACCCTCCCTTATCACAGAAGACTTTGGCATCTAAACACCCCACCACTACCCCAATACAGACGCATAGTATTTTTAGGAGCTCCTATTACTGAGTTCGGGAGCTCTGGTAGCATAGTGGCTAAGACACTTGCCTGCTAACCAGACGGCTGGCGGTTCAAACCCACCAGCCACTCCTCGGAAGGAAGGTTGGGCAATCCTACTTCCGTAGTGATACTGCCTCGGAAACCCAAGGAGGGGTCGCTATGAGTCGGGGCCGACTGGACGGCACATAACAACAACAACATTACTGAGTTCTGGCCTCTCTGTGATTCCTGCCCAGATCCTGCCACATAAAATGTCTCTTAACATCATCTCTCCCGCCTCCTTTAACCCATGGCTAAGGACCCATCCCTAGGCCAGTCCCTACACCCAGCTCTGGCCCTGCTTCTGACGCTGGCTCTCTAAGCCTCTGCCCTGTACAGACCATTGCCCTGTTCAGGCCCGGTCCCCAGCCGCTTATTCAGTACAGTCTGGGTCTGAACCCCGCCCAGTCTCTCGCCTCAGCTTGGCCCCGCCCCCTACACTGTTTCTCCCAATCCCAGCCCCTTCTGAGCCCAGCCTTGTTCCCACCTTGGTCCCGCCCCGTAAGCGTACTATTCCCCCCAGTCCGACCCTGCCGTGCCCGCTTGCTCCCCGGACTCTGGCTCACCGCAGAAAGCCTCCTGGAACTTTCTGGACAGCTTCTCGATGACGTTGTAGCTCTCCACATAGTCGACGTGCTCATCCTCAGGCTCGCTGGCGATCTGCCGCAGTATGGCCTTATCCACACGCCCCACGCCAATGGCGAACAGCTCGATGCCACTGGCCTGGGCCCGCGCAGATACTTCCCGCACGCTGTCCTGGGGCCTTCCATCCGTCACCACGATGACCACCTGCGACACACGGGGGTCGTGTGAGGACCGGGCTTGTGTGAGAACCGGGCCCTCCCTCCTTTCGCTGAGCTGGGGCCCTTAGCCCTTAGCCCTTAGCCCTTAGCCCTTAGCCCTTAGCAAGCCCTGCTGGACTGTTGACAGAAGAGGAAAGTGAGGGCCAGAGAGGCAGAGTGACTTGCCCAGAGTCACACAGCTAGTCCGTTGCAGTTAGATCTGATGCCCTGGGAATTCCCCAGGGAAGAGAACTTGCCTAGCTGAAGAGGAAAGATGGGTTTCCTCTAAGTGAGAGACATGGGTGAGGTGTCACCCCATCTGACTCCAGCCTCTGGTAACCAGCCTGTCTCTTTCCTCAGGCAGGCAGTTGTAGGGAAGGAGCGCTGTAATGGCTTAAGGGCAGGGTCGTGTCAGTCTCCTCAGATTGGATACCTCTGAGGGCAGATCTGTGTGTCTTTTCACCTTGGAGGGGCCTCTGAGAGGAAGTGGGGTCATGTCTCCTCCCTCAGACTGGGAACCCCTGAGGGCAGGTGTGTGTCTCCACCTTTAAACTGGGGACCTCTGAGGAGAAAGCCATGTCTTCTCCTTCAAACTTGGGTACCTCTGAAGTCACAGCAGGGCCCCTCAGGGCAAGGCCATGTCTTTCCCCTCAGGCCAGGTACCTCGAAGGTCAGCGCCAGGTCTCCTCCTTCAGACGGGAGCCTCTGAGGGCATGTATGTGTCTCAGCAGTGGGAGGAGACTCCAACCCAGCTACAAGACTGGTTTACTCCTTAAATTTGAGTCAACATGTGCATCCAATACCATGCAATTCTGCTCTTTGGCCACCAGGGGACAGCCAAGGCTAAGGAATGCTAGTTGATGCCACCAGTCTTTCCTTGCCTGGACCTCTAAAAAAACAACGCAATGCACTGCCCTGGAGTTGGATCCGACTCGTAGCGACCCCTCCTTGGGTTTCCGAGGCGGTGTCGCTAGGGAAGTAGAGTGCCCAATCAATCTTCCTTCCCAGGTGTGGCTGGCGGGTTTGGAATCGCCAGCCTTCTGATTAGCTGTCAAGTACCTTAGGCACAGGAGTAGTCTATTGGTTCAGAGTATTTGACACAACGTTGCTCTCCTATATGCCCAATGAACAGTAGCTGCTGCCCTTTTCTTCCTCCATGGCCCAATGTCATAATATGGCCTTCCCTGAGGAAAAGGATCTGCCTGCCCCTCCCACAAGACTCCTCTGCTTGTATTCTGAGGGAGAGTAAAAGGGGACCTGGGTTGAGCCCCTCCACCCATCACTGCCTGCCTGGACCTGCTCTGAACCCAAGGTCCTCACAACTCTGGCCCCAGTCTGGGATTCTGTGCTGAGCCTTCTTTGCTGCTTCTCTGCTCTGGCTTCTGGGTCTGCTCTCACTACTGGATCCCCTGGCTTGGCCCAGGGGCCTGACCTGCCTATCTTGGTGACCTGCAGTGGAGTGGCTAAGACAGTCAGTCAGTCCTGTGTTAGTTACCCGTCATCTTCCTGAGCCTCAGTTTCCTTGTCTGTAAATAAGGGTTATGGTGAGGTTCAGGGTGGTATAATTCATAAGGAAACTTATTATTACTATCATTACCCTGGATCCTCTGAGGAAGATTCCTGCACATTCTCCTCCTCTCCAGAGGTCTGGGCTCTTGGCACTAAAAATCTAGTCATGTGTTGCCACAAGGCTCCTTTCTCCTCGAGTGCCCACTGCCCACCCCCGGCTTGGAGACTTTCATCCATCTTGGACAAACCAATGATGTCTGGTGCCAGCTCCCTTGCCTGCTGTGGCAACTCTCTCTCCCTACTTGCTCAGCCCTGGCCCTGGCCCGATCTGGGGTGAGCTGGTTAACTAGAGATGTGACAGCTATAGGTGTCAACACCGTCACCTTCACCACCTCTCTGCATTATGATTGCCCCAGGGCCACCACATCCTCCCAACCACCACAACTCATCAACCTCATCTGCACCACCTCACATTAGAACTTCCAAGTGGCCTCCACAAAACGAAACGCACAGGCAGCCCAATATATCATTCTTTGAGGGGTAGTGGCAGGGGATTATATGTTATTGTCTGTATGACTGTTTCTACCACTTACTAGCTAGGCAAGTTACTTAAGGCCCACTTGCCTCAAATTCCTCATCTGCAAAATGGGGATACTACCTCCGAGCAGGAGTGCCCTTCTCAGCACTCATGTTTCAGGCAACTGCTGTGTGGCAAGCACTGTGCTAGAGAGTGGGGAGCAGGAGAATAAGGGAGAGTACTTCACCTGGGCTGGTCCCAGGACAGATAGTGACTCCTCAGGCTGCAAGGGGCTGTGACGGGGAGATGCAGGGGCCTGTGAGAGGACCAAGCTGAGGAAAAGGCCTGGGGCTGAGTCCTGAAAAATTAGAATCTGGATACAAGGTCTGTGAAAACACTCAGCTCTCTGCCTGGAGCCCTCGCTCACTGTGCAACTTGGGGAACAACGCGTCACACTCCTGAGCTCCTGCCCTCAAAGGATTGCTAAATAAAAAATTAACTAATGCTTTAAAAAAAAAAAGTTGCTACCAAGTCAATTCCAAATCATGGTGACCCCGTGTGTTTCAGAGTAGAAATGCACTCTGTAGGGTATTCAGTGGCAGTGATCTTTCAGAAGTGGATCACCAGGCCTTTCTTCCCACGCACCTCTGAGTGGATTTGAACTGCCAATCTTTCAGGTAGTAACCAAGTGTTTAACCATTTGCACCACCCAAGGACTCCTAACAAATGCTTAAAATCTATTGCCTCGAGTCAACTCCGACTCATGGTGACCCTATAGGACAGAGAAGAACTGCCCCTAGGGTTTCCAAGGCTGTAAATCCTTACCAAGCTGTGATATTTTCAGTCTCATATGCATATGAAAGCTAGACAATGAATAAGGAAGACCAAAGAAGAATTGATGCATGTGAATGATAATGTTGGCAAAGAATATTGAATACACTATGACTGCCAGAAGAACAAACACATCTGTCTTGGAAGAAGTACAGCCAGAATGCTCCTTAGAACCAAGGATTGTGAGACCTCATCTCTTGTGCTTTGGTCATGTTATCAGGAGGGACCAGTCCCTGGAGGTCATCATGCTTGGTAAGGTGGAAGGTCAGCGAAAAAGAAGACTCTCAATGAGATGGATTGACATCGTGGCTGCAACAATGGCCTCAAACATGGCAATGATTTTTAGGATAGTGCAGGACTGAGCAGTGTTTCATTCTGTGGTCCATAGGGTCGCTATGAGTCAGAACCAACTCGATGGCACCTAACAATGGACATCTTTACTACGGAAGCAGACTGCCACATCTTCCTCCCACAGAGTGGTTGCTGGGTTCCAGCTGGTGACCTTTTGGCTAGCAGCCTACTGCTTAACCACGGTGCCACCAGAGCTCTGCTTACACAGGGCTCGTTAGGTGCCAGCACTGTTCTGAGCACATTAACTCATTTAGTCCTCAGCACCACCCTTTGAGAAAGTATTATTACTTCTATTTTACAGACGAAGACACTGAGGCATTGTATTATGAAGTGACTTACCCAGGGTGGCACAGCTAACATGGCAGAGCAAGAGTTTGAACCCAGACAGGCTATTACAGAGGCATACCCTTAACTAGCACCTAAGTGTCTGGCTTGTCTTCCTTCTGCCTTCAAGGACCTCTGACTGGCTGGGGAGCAAAGTCAACTACAGGGAAATCATCAAGGGCCCACCAGATGGTGAGCCCCTGCGGGCAAGAAGTGGGGTAAAGTGGCCCAGCAGAACGGAGTTCAAATCCCAGCTCTGCCACTTACAACTGGTGACCTATGCCAAATGACCTCCCCACTTTGATTTGTTTCCCCAGCTGGACAATAATCACCTCATGGGGGTGTCAGGAGAATTAAATGAGCACATGCAGGCTAAGCTCTTAGCATCCAGTGGGAACCCTGAAGGAAGGGGGGCTGATACCTTGCTGATGTCGGGGGAACGGACTCGGCCACCTTCGGCATCACTGAAGGCCTTGGTGATGGCGAACTGGATGGCCAGGCCTGTCATGGTGCCAGTGGACAGCGGCTGGAGGCGGCGCACAGCCTGCAACAGGGCGGCTTTGGAGTCGTGGGCACGCAGCGGGAACTCCTGCTTCACAGAGCTGGCATAGTTGACCACACCCACTCGTGTGGCATTGGGCCCCACGTCCAGAGACTCAATGACCTGGGACAGAAACACCTTCACCTTCTCAAACTCCACAGGCCGCACGCTGCGTGAGCTGTCAACAACAAACACCAGGTCCGTGGGCCGGGTCCGGCAGAGGTGCCCTAAGGCGGAGGTGAGACAAAGGGCAACAGGCAAAGGTCAGGAAACAGACCTGAAGTCACAGAGGCAACGGAGCAGAGAGAGCACTAGCTGGTGATGGAGAGCTGGCCCCAGATAGCATAGGCTCTGGACTTCAACCAGGCTGACTGCATCCTCTTTACAGAGGTGGACACACAGCTCAGCCCAGTGGGAAGGACCAAGGCTCCCATCCTTGTCTTGGGCAAATCACTTTATTTCTCTGAACCTCAGTTTCCTCATCTGGGCTGGGAGCAAGCTCAACTACAAGGAAATCAGCAAATGCCCACCAGAGTGCTAGCCCCTGGGGGCAAGAGGCAGGTGAAGGTAGCTCTGCCACTTATAACTGATGACGGATAATCTCTTTCTTATAGATCTTTGGGTAGTGGAGCAAAAATGCATGTAGGGTGCCAACACGGGACCTGGCCCACAGCAGGTGTTCATGGGGCAGCAAAGGAGAAAACAGTCTTTCTAGCAACTTCTCCCTTTTCAGCCCAGAGTTGCCTGCTGCAGCCACAGACAACAAACCTTATTCAAAGCCATTTTCATTGAGTCTCAACTCATGTGTTACAGAGTAGAGCTGCTACATAGAGTTTTCTTGGCTATAATCTTTATGGAAGCAGATCGTTAGACCTTTCTGCCACCATGCCACTGGGAGAGTTTGAACTGCCAACCTTTAGGTTAGTAGTTGAACATAAACCCTTTGTACCACCCAGGCTGCCATAGACAAGGGGGCAGCTATTTCTTCTAGCTGGGCAGGAGGACACAGAGATCGGGCCCTCCAGAGGCGGGCTCCTTCTTGAGGACAAAGTACTGCCCACCAACATGCTGTCTCTCATCTAAGCATCAAAGCAAATCACCAAAATGGAACTAGTTTCTCTCAGCCCAGCAGAGCCTGATGGCTGGCTTCTGAGGGCAGGGGGAAGGAGCAGGAATTCCTGGTGGCCACATCTGCAGGGAGAGATGTTTCCTTGGACACCCTAGGAGTCAGCATCATAGCTGGGAAGTGCTTGGAGCTGGAGTAAGGCAGGCCTTGGTTCAAATCCTGTCTTGGCCTCTCTGTGGCCCCTGACAGGCTATTGCACCTTTCTAAACCTCATTTTTTTCATCTGTCCAGTGGGAAAATAGTACTTAGTTCATGATGCTGTCACTGGCCTAGGCAGAGCTCATTACAAAGGCCCCTCCCTAAAGGTCCCACACTGAGTCTGAGACAGGCAGAGTCACCCCCAGGTGAAGGTGCATGAAGAATTGGGAGAGAAATAGTGTGCTGGGCTGTCCCAAATCCCCAAGCCACAGTGTTCTAGACCCCAGGCATCAGACTTCCTCAAAGACCTTTAGAAACATCTTCACAGCCAGGTTCCTGGCTCCCAGTACCTTAGACTATAAATGTGAAAACAGGCCCAGAGAGAGGAAGAGAACCGGCCATACGGTAGAGCAATAGACTGTAGGGCCATCTCACGGTATCTCTTAGATGGTCCTCCCCTCCAGCTTCAGCATCGGCATCTGCACAGGAAGCATTGGATAGTCTAGGATTCAGTGCCTGAGGCTGCAATTCCAGGGGTGGTACCACCCCCAGGGAGCCCAGTCCAGGATATGCTGAAGGGCTACAGAAGGGATGCAGCAGTTAGTGCTTGGTCCTCCAGATTTGCATCTTCAAAGAGCCATGAGCTCTGCTTGGGCTTATTGCAGCTCTAGACGCCAACAGGCTCTGGGATAACTTCTGTCCCCAGTGACCCTGGGGACGACAGTCACCCAGCATGCATGATCCCTGAAGGGCTGAGAAGCCCCAGAGAAGGCTCAGGGACTCCAAGAGGATCAGAGACACCCATCCATATTCCCCAACAGGACAGACTGAGGGCCACCCTTGCCCTGACCCTTGTCAGTGTCACTATCTCTGTCTGCTGCTATGCCAATCTGCTGCCCCTTTTCCCATCCTAGAAACTATTTTGTTTCTGCCCATCTCAGTGCTCAGGCGCTCAGGCGCTGCTCCTCCAGGAGCCCCCATCTCATGCAGTCCGCCTCACCTCTGGACTGGGGGACCAGGCCAAGGGTGCCTGGGGCCTGGAGCAGCAGCAGCAGGCCGCAGAGTGAAAGGCTGGTGCTAGAGATGACCCTCATGGTTCTGGAGGCTCGGGCAGCAGCAGGCACAGTGGTGGGGCCAGTGCGGGCCTGGTCTTATCAGCCTTGCTGCCCGCCCAGCCTCCCAGCCAGGCGGCCCCCCACTAACGTGGGGGCAGCCAGCACTGGCCCTCCCGCCCTGAGGGCGGGGCCCTGGCTGAATGGAGGTGTGTGTGCCTAGAGAGGGAGAAAGCTGCCTGGCCTGGGCTCTAGGGGCCCCTTCGACCACAAGGGCTCCTTTGCCTGCAAAAGCAACCAGAGCTGCAGCTGGAATTCAGGAAATCTCAGGTGGGGTGGGGGTGGCTTCACCAGGGGCTGGAGCCTGTGCTGACCTGAAGCCGTCTCCCCAAGCCCCAGGATTTAAAAAAAAAAAAGCAGTTGCCATCAAGTTGATTCCAAGTCAATTCCAGTGCATGGCGACCCGTATGTATCAGAGTAGAACTGTGTTCATAGGGTTTTCAGTGGATGATGTTTTGGAAGTAGATCACCAGGCCTTTCTTCGGAGATGCCTTGGGATGGACTCAAACCACCAACCTTGCAGCTGGCAGCCAAGCCCAAAAACCATTTGTACCACCCAGAGACTCAAGCTCCAGGATACCTGAGTCCAGTGACTTCAAACCCCACCTCTGCCCTCATCCCACACCCAAATTCTTCCCTCACCCACAATTCCAACCCCAATTTTCTCATTAAACACATTTCCGCTCTCCTACCTTGCTGCTCTCTGCCTTTCCACATGTGCTCTGCCCTCCAGCTATACCTGGATTCTCAGAGTTTTCCACAAGATGCCCCAGGTCTTTGCACATAGGGGCCAAGTGCCCAGAATGCTTTCCTCCTGCTAACCCTCTACCTAACTGAATCTTTCAAAATAGTAATCGGAACTACTGGGTATGTCAGCTCTTGATATCTGCAAGGCAGTAGAGAAGGAGACTGCAAGCTCAGACTACCTAGGTTTGAATCCTGGCTCTACTATATATACCTATGCGACTGTGGGCAAGTTACTTCATCTCTATGCCTCAGATTCCTTATCTGGAAACTGAAAGATGATGATGATAACACTGCCTGCCTTATAGGGTTGATGTGAAGAGCAGGTGAGTTACATGAAGTATCTCATATAATCCTCATGACAACCTTGTGAGACAGGTACTATTATGACCCCCATTTCCCAGATGAGGAACTGAAGAACAGAGAGGTTGAATAACTTGTCTGAGGACACACAGTTGGGAAATGTGCCAGAGTAGGACTCCAGGTTCTTGCTTGCTCCAGTGTAGCTGTTGGAGGGTCCTTCTCTGTGCTCACCTCTCTCCCGACCCCACCTGAGTTAGTCCTCTCTCCTTGTGCCATTCTTCATTGTATGTCTCATCCAGGAGCAGGTGAGTGTCTGACATCCTGGGCCCTTTCCAGGATTTACATGGAGGAAGCTTATAAATAAAGGAACATAGCCAACAGGAACTGTTGCATCCAGCTCCAGTAACTGAAGGGATAGAGCAGAAAGATCATGGATTTGGCTGCCTAGCAGACTCAGGTTTAAATCCAGCTCTGCTGCTTACAGGCTGTGTGACCTAGAGCTGGTGACTTAACCTCTCTGAGCCTCAGTCTGTCATCATGCAGTGGGAGAGGTAGCTCTGGGCTGGCTTACCTCAAAGGGGCGATATGAAGAGGCAATGAGAGGATGGAAGTGGATATGTGGTCAAATGATTATCGTCTTTCCAGGGGACAGAATAGTAACACTTAGGATCTGTATATTTCACTCTATGTCAATTATGCCCCAATAAAAGGAAATGCACAGACATTTCACTACAAAGTGACTGTGGGCACAGCAGACCCAACCAGCAGCTCCCACAATCCAGCAATAATGATAGTAACAATCTCTTCCACACTTAACACAGCACAACCCCTCACTGTCATTCTCTCTCCTTTGTTCTTCCAACAAACCTGTGAGGCCAGCATATCTGAGTCAATTGGCCCGTTTGTTAGGTGAGGAAGCTGAGGCCCAGAGTGGTTCATTGACTTGTTTGAGTCAACCAGTCAGCTTAAGGGTAGAGGCAAGCCTGAAACTCAGGACTCACACTCCTCTGCACCATTGTTGGAGAACAAACAAAGTGAAATCATGATACTGTCTCTGCTCTTTCCTGTTTAAGTTTCAACTGCTCAAAATCCATCCCCTACCCCAATTCCAAAACCCAGTTGAGGCTGCTGATTGCTTTCATTTCTACAACTTTTGAGTCTAATTCTCTCCTCCAGATATGCTGCAGGGTGTGATGATCATGGTTTTGTCACTTCCCAAAATCATGGTATAAATGTGCTTCCTGCCTCCCTCAGCAGAATGCCAGCCTCTCAGAGCAGAGTCCTTGCTTGTCTCCATCAGCCCTGAATCCTCAGGTGAGCAAATGAAGAAATGAATGAAAAGCATGAACAAACAATGTACTGGCTCCATTTCCTTGTACAACCAACAAGGGTCAGACTGGGGCCAGCAACGGTGACCGTAGCCTTGCTGGAGGTGGCCGAGGAGAACGTGAGCTGAAGCCCCCTTCCCCTCCCCCAGTGGACAGGACTGTGTCCATAGCTCAGTGCACAAAGCACCCTTGGCCGGCCTGTGAAACAGCTCTTTCAGCTCCATCTCTGAATGGCAGTTCTGTGGCCTCCTCGGAGGAACACAGGCGCCTTCTCTGTGTCACTTCTCCACTCATTAGAGGAGCCACAGAAATATGTTATAGGTGGGTTTTCAGGAATAGAGATGGCTTTAACATTCCATAGTGGGAGTAAGGGCTGGGAAGGAGGAGATCCTGAAGTTCAGTATATACATTGAGGAAAGAAAATAAATATTTATGTTTTTAAAATGTGAAGCATTTTGCCCCGCAATTCAAAATTGGGAACAGTGTGTCCGGTGTGGGCCAGAGGGGAAAATGCATGGAGGGGCCTTCTTCAGAGCTGTTCACAAGTCAAACAGAGGTGGGCAGGGAAGGGCTCCCCTGTTGCCTCTCTGCTTACACACAACTCACGTTTCCAGAAACTTAAAGCCTTCGGTGTTTCATCCAAGAGGGGGTGCTTATAATCAAGGGAGAAGCCCCTGGGTACTGTGTGGCTCAGCGGAAAGGCACAGGACTCCCACTCCAGTGCTCCCAAGGCTCCAGTCTTTCCCCGAAGAGTGCACCTAGTAACCTCCCTCTCCTGCGATGAGAGGCACACATGGTGTAGGACAGCGTGCCCCCTTCTTTGTCCTTCACCTCCATCATCATGGTTTTTGCTGTGTCCACATCCACCTTTACTGATATGTATTCAGTCTTTCTTTTTCATTAACTGTAAACCAACTCCCTTTTTGAAAATCTTTTTGTGGTAAGATGTTGTTGTTAACTGGTATTGAGTCAACACCAATGCATGGTGACCTTACGTACAAGAGATCAAAACATTGCCCCACCCTGTCATCCTCATGATCACCAGCATGTCTGAGTCCATCATTGCAGCCACTGCACCCGTCTGTCTCCCCGTGGGTCTCACTGGTCCTCTGCTTCACCAAGGGTGAAAGCCCTTCTCCAGCAACTGATCCCTCCTGATAACGTGTCAAAAGGAAGCAAATTGGAGAGCCGTCTGTTGTGATCCACAGGTTTTCATTGGCTCATTTTTGGAAGTCTTAGTCTGGAAGCTCCACTGAAACCTGTCCACCAAGGGGGACCCTGCTGGAATTTGAAATACTAGCAGCATAACTCCCAGCATCACAGCAACACGCAAGCCACCACAGTGCGGCAAACTGACAGATGGATGGTGGGCGGTAAAATACACACAACATAAAATTTGCCATTTTAACCAATTTTAAGTGTATAATTCAGTGACATTAACTGCATTCACTGTGTGTACAACCATCAGCACCATCTATTTCCAAAATATTTCATCACCCCATACAGAAACTCAGTACCCATTAAACAATAACTCCCCACTAACCCCTCCTCTCAGCCCTCGGTAGCCACTAATCTACTTTTGCTTGTATGCATGTCCCTATGCTAGAGATAGTTCATATAAGTGAGATCATACAATGTTAGCTCTTTTGTTTCTGACTTATTTCACTTAGCACACTTTCAAGGTTCAGCCAGGTCATAGCATATATCAGAACTTGTTTCACTGTGTGGATATACCACATTTTATTTATCCATTCATCTTTTGATTGATGGATGGGTTTCTCCACATTTTGGCTATTGTGAATAGTGGTGTTGTGAAGACAGGTGTATATCTTTTTTTTTTTTTTAAACATCTCCTCCTCCTCAGAAATAATGGCCATGAAATCACTGGTTTGATGTGTAGTTTATATATTTATTCCAATACACATTTAAATGAATTCAAAACTAATTGAATTGAATGTTTCCATCCACATCACCAAAATGCATCTTGTGTTTGGTGAGTGGCATGCATGCCAGACTCTGAGGAATCTTGTGAAATGAGAGATTTTGGATCCAAACAGAGCTGGGTTTGATTCCCAATTCAGTCACCAGCCAGCTGTGGTGGCTGTGGGTAAATCCTTCCACTTCTCTGCTCTTCTGTTTCACGTCTATAAAGCTGGGGTCCTAATGCCAATGTCACGAGATGGTTGTGGGAATGAAATGTGATCAATGTAAAACACCAGCACAGAGTAGGCATGCTACATCCATGATGATGATTTTCATAGTGCCTTCCTGTTTTAGTCAGGGTAGGACAGGTACAGTTGCAGTAAGAAATAAGCTTTCAAATCACAATGGTGGAACACAAGGGTTTATTTCTGTCTCCTGCATGGTCCCTCTCCAAAGCTGCCTCTGTCTTTCTATCCTACCATCTCCAAGTCCTTTTCTTCCATTTATGTGGACCAAGAGAGAGACCAAGTGTGGGAAAGGTACGTCCACTGTTTATAGCCTCAGATAAGGAGTACATATCATATGTCTCCACCCAAATGCCCAGAGAAGCACATGTGGGTTTTAGGATGCACCAAGGAGCTCTGGTGGTGTAGTGCCTAAGGCATTTGACTGCTAACCACAGGG